CTACAACTTCAAAAGGCCTTACCCTAACCTAACAACATATTCTCAGTCTACTGGTGGATCTGGGCTCTACAGAAAATCCAAATTGTAAGAAATGACCTTATTTTTACATTTCCTTTCCCTTCCTTTTATGAGAACATGCTCAACACAGTGAAAAGCAGCTTTGCTTTTCTGCACTAAGGATAATGCCTCTAATCACCTGTGAATCACACACCCTAAAGAAAGTAAAAATGCCCAAATCTTTTTGGTCATATAGCTGAAACCTCTTTGGTTATATATGCCATAACTAATTTTAATAAAACACAGTAATTGGTATATATTCTTTCAGTATTGTCACTGTTATTTACAACCAGATTAATGAGAATTGTGTACTGAGTTCTGCAAAAGTTTTTATGTAACATTGAAGCAAATATCTGCTAACTTTTCATGATTTGTTCATTTAAATCAATATAAATAATAAATTAAAATCAGTGATGAATCACTGTGAATGTTAAATCCGCAATAATGTTAGAAAATAGATATCCTCAAGGCCCAGGCAACCAGATCAGTTACGTAGAGCAGTCTAAATCAATATGTTTGATATTTTTAGAACTTTGCTATGTAAATCATTCTATGTAATACATAATTGTTCAGAATAAACTATTTTGTTGTTTAATAGCATAACACTGTAGAAGCATTCTATATGTTTTATGCTTTGCCTTCTCATGATGTACAATCCCCTACAGTGCAGAGGGGCAAACTATTTAAAATGCCAGTATTATGAAACTCTATAATTTTTCAGATATTTCAAATTCATTTCTTAAAGGCCAAGACCGAGGCCTTAAATAAATGGACATTAATTTAATTTAATGGACATAAACTAAGGACACTTGTGGGCAATGGCGGAAATGCGTTGCAGTTGGCATAATAAGTACTATTCGAATTACTGGCAGCTAGGAAGGAACTAGGAGCATGAAGCAGTGTGCTTCCTAGTGCCAATGAAGTGAGCACAGGAATAGGTTTGAATAGGTTTTCTGTTTTAATTGCATGAATTTGAAGACGAAGTTTAGTGGCTTTAGCTTTTATCATGACAACAGCCATCTAATCCTTTAGATGGTGGCAGTCAGTGGTTCACACGTTTTAATTTGATCTACATTACTGCGTGCTAAATGCATTGCAGTAAAACTGCCTTATTATTTAGCCCTCTGGTTCTCATTTCAACAAATAAAACTGCTTTTTTTCATTGTAAAAATTATTACTTGAATGTCACAGAAATAAAATTTTCAGAGTAACCTTCATCAGGTTTAAACTACAAGGCAAGAGATGATAAATAATTAACCTGTGGACAGATACACAGATGAAAAAAAATCTCCCTGTTTTTCAAAGCCAGATGTTGACAGGTATGTTGTTAATACGAGACAATAACTGACAAATTTATTGACTAAACATCAACATTTAGGCTTAGGGTTAAAAACAACCAAAGGGAAAGACGCAGTGGTAAATGGCTCAGGGGGTATATAAGAACAAGCTACTTATATTAATTTGTGCTAGACACAGATATTTTTTAACTAGCTAGGTAATATATTAACAAATGTTAGATTTGATGTGTTGTACAGTGATATGACAGAAACCAGAATGCACTAAAGTATGATAAATATATGAAATGCTTTTTGTTACATTTAAGAGGGTCTGAACAGAAAAATTTGAGATGCCCTTGCTCCTGACGTTCCTCGCTGCCGCTTGGAGCTATAAGGTCGTCCACAACTCTTTGTATGACAGTGTAAATAGGCAACGCTCATCTCATGTAGTTTAACAAAAATACATTATTTAGTAGCGTGTACTTTGTACAACACATGCAAATGTCCACAGTTTCATGTTTGGGGATTAATGAGCTTAAGCCGTTGTGTAAATTTGTTTTTTGCCATTCTTTTCCGGAAGGCTAAAGTCCTAATTGGAAAAGGATTCTTCATGTGTGTTTGCCGCACAGTGATGTCTGTCTGTCTGGAACCAGCACAGCAGCCAGGAGATCCTCTCCTGCCCTGGATAGTATTCATACTTTTTACCCCGTGAAAGGTGAAGGCACAGGCGCTTGTAATAGGAGATAGAAATTACGATTGGAGGTATTTAAACTGAGCCTGAGAGCAAGGCACTGATTCACTCAGCTGTTTCTGGCTTCCTGTCCCCCAGCTGTTTTCATTAAGTATTGCATCTCAGATGTTCTGTCTTTATCTACTGAGCTTCTGTAATTCATCATGTTCACCTCCACATTCTATGTAAGGCACAAGTTCTTATAAGGTCAACTTCTTTTAGACTGCTTGCTTGTTAAATCACCTAAATCACCCCTTCTATAACCGGCTCTCCCGCCCAAACTACAACTCAAGCCAAATCTGAATTTCTAGGGAAAAAGAATTTTTGTCGTGTACATGTTTGTCCAAGATTTGTCAAAAATAGGAATCTGTGCTGAGAAATGCGATTCCAGCAACACAAATTGTTACATTGTGGGACTAACGTAACTTTTTACTAGTAAGCTATACAAATTAGTATAATAGATATAGCAAGATTTAAAGCTATGGTTGGTTATGCTGGGAAGATATCAAGATTTGCAAGCGTCACTCCCCCTCCCCCCTTCGTTCAAACTAAATCGTGCATCTTCAGCAGAACTCGGCAAAGCAGAGGGGAGCCGACTCTAACATTTCTTTCAATACACTTTGGACTTCAAACCTAGCTACCTCATGTCTCATTTACCTGTAAATAAACTTTATGATTATTGTGACTTTCAAGGTAGCATTCTAGGTTTAGCAATGCTAAGCATCCAAGTTTTAGCATGTTATGTTTAGCAATACTTACCTCAAAGGTTTTGTGAAGTGGTGCGAATAATTATGGCAACAACTGAACCTGATCAGCATGCATGTGGAGGAGGGACATACTGTAGATCAATGCATCTGATTGTTTTTTTTCTCCATTCAGACTCAATGGTAGTGATTGGTCAGAGTGTTTATAGGCTTCCAGCTCTCAAAGATATCTGATTTTTTTTTTTTGTTCCCCTTTCTGAATCCATAAGGTATTGACCACTTTCAGGATGGAAGGACTATTAAACTCAATAGAGAAAAAAAAGTGTTTCTGAACAGGATTACCAACTATAGCTTTAAGGTTCATGTATTCTTCAAATTTAGTAATTTGAAGAAATTACATTTTTGGAAATTTTTATATTTGTAACTGTTTTTACTGTATGTTTTTAATGTGGACCCCAGGAAGACTAGCTGTTTGCCATGGCAACAGCTAATGGGGATCCTTAATAAAATTACAAATTACTAGGATACAGTAAACTGAAATCTAAAGCTTTTACAAATTTGCTGAGGCAGTAGAAATGAGTACCTACAGTTATTCAAAGCAATATTTAAAAAAGCCCTATGTACAATTTCAGACAGTTGTCACTTAACTTCAATGCTATTTTTGGAAAGTTATTACTGCATTTGCAATTTTGTGGGCTTTACTGGTTTTCTTGAATCCTGTGTTCTAAGTCCATTACATTTATGTTCGTATAATATCAGCAAACATAAGATCCTTAATTCTGCACAAACTTAGAAAAGTAACAATCTATCATGAAATGGTAGTTAATGGTAGTTTGACCAAAATATACTACTAAGCCTTTTTAGTGTTAAATAAATATGGTATGTGTAATGGAATATACTTCACAGAAACCTTAAATTTAATAGAAATAAGTAAAGTTATGGTAAAATAATATGTCAATATAAAAAAATTTGTTTTATAGTTCAGTGAAAAATCATATTTTTAGTAATCACAAAAAATTTATAATGCACATTATTAGATATAAGTAATGCAAAAAGTATTTTCTCAGTTAAAAGTCTCTGTCCAGTCTCTCCTGTGGTCCTTTAAGTATTGTAACTGAGTAAATGTATCTAGTTACTACCCTCTTCCGGGAGTGGCTTCGCAAGCCCATGTCCAGGATACATCCTGGTGATCTAACTCCGCTCCACACATTTTACACATTAAATGGGTTTTCCTTCAAAATTGTTTCAAAGCTGTCATTTTCCATTAGCTTGTGCACATTTTTTCAACAACACTTTTGCTTGCTCAACTCTCTTATAATAAGGTTTGGATACAGCAGTCTGTCAAGAGTGGAAAAAAAAACAACTACAGTATGGTTAGGCAATGACCTTTTATGGCTTACTTTCCTTGTGTGTAGGGTGTCAATGACAGCCTATTGAACAACTTGTAAGTCAGGAGCCTTAGTGTATATCAAGGATCTGAATCTTTCATGGGTCTGATGTAATATTTAATTGTCTAAAAATAATATGTAAAGATTTTTGTAAAGATCTATCAAAATAAATCTTAAAACACTTCAAAATAAAGCTAAAAGAATTATTTGGATTAATCGCGATTAAGCGATTATTGCAATAATTGTCGATTGATTTAGAAATCGATTAATAGTTAATAAGAGTATAGAGACTGTAAAACATGCCTTTAGCTGACAAAGCCACTTAGAGCAGTAATTATACCAAGATCGTTAAAAAATATGTAAATATTTTGCATTTAAGATTATTATTATTTTTTTGTCTTTATCCAGTATTCCCCAAGTGGAACAGTTTTACTTTCAATTGGTTTAATTTAGCAAAAAGTTCTCTATAAGGAATCTTTGGCTATCCAATTATTAATAAAAAAAAAAATTAAAATCAACAGATTAATGGATTTGCAAAATAGTTTTACTTCTAACACATAAAAATCTATAGAAATAGATTTAAGTTGTATATACAGTTATTTGAATTCACTTGCATATGTAAAAAAAATACAGTTTTAAACCTTATTTTTGTATTTTTCCCATGAGAGTGCATTGTTTTTAGACCAGGCTGCTTTCAGGAGCAGATATCCCTATCATTTGCCCAGTGTGAGAGCATCCACTCCTTCATTTCCAAATCATAACGCCACAAGCAACTTTTCTGTTGCTGTGCTCAATTGACACTTTACCCACTGATTTCTCATCATCTGGTCCTGCCTTGGTTGCGGTGGAATAGGAGGGTCGGAGCGGTGCGGTGTTCAGCGGAAGAGGAGGCGGTGAGTCAGTGGTACAGCAATCAGAGGCAGGGCGGTGCAGGGGAGAAAACGCAGCCTTGGAGCGCGTCGCGCATACGGAAAGGGGGCTACTGACTAAAAGCCGGAGAGGAACGAGGGGGCTGGCTCGGCTAACCGGTGGGGAGATGCGCGCTGATCTCCATCTTCACACCCGTCTTGTCAGACTTTTGATCCAACTGGCGCAAATGGGCAACGAGAGGCTCTATCCACCTGCAGGTTTGGCATAAAGCCTCCCGACGCGTAAACAAGTATTAAAAAGAAACGAAGACGCGGATATTTTGAGACTTCATCTAAATCCTGCTCAAATAAACGCACTCTAACTTTGGCAGCCTTTTAACTTCTCTTAAGAAGTGGACGGAAAATTTGAATTTGCTCGACTAAAAAAAGCAAAAACTGACCTTCTCCTCTTTGGATCATTTATATGTTTTTTCATTTATCTCCAGAGCAATTTGAGGCACATTGGATTTAAGTAAAATAAAAATAAAAAAACATCGGAGCTTTTAAATAATACACGTGTTTTTTTATTTCTGTTGAGATGGAGTACTCAATAGGAAACTCCGGGTAGGAATTGAAGTCTCGTTTTGGTGCGCAATTTTTGCGGCTGAAGAACTTGAAATCTCTACCAATATTTTTTCCTTATTACCTTCAAATCTTGTTTTTTCCCTAATGGAGTAGGCTGACCCTGAAGTGCGGACTTTAATATCAGTCTAAAATAAAAAGTGGGTTTATTCTCTGACACCGGGAAAGAAACCAGGCGGATCTGATGCGCATCTTCTCCGTGGGATGGTAAATGACCGATGGGGAAACATGAACAGCTCTTCTGAACTCGAAGATGGAACTCGGCATAAAAACCAGGTATTTATAAATGTATTTGTGTTTTTCTCGCTGACGCTGTGCTGTGTGCTTCTGAGGAGTGGTTCATGTGCTTGGTGCAATGTTACCACGCTGAATTTGGTGGTATATATATGCCTCACGGGCGAATCTCTGCACTGTGGAGACGTTATTAGAACACATAGCTGTGGAAATGAGCTGATATTCCTCAAAGAAACCTGCACATCACATAATCCTAAATGCTGTTTATCAGAAACATTCAATTAAATGGAAATGAGTACATTTTGAAAGTAGTAAAAAAAAAAAACACAGTGGGTGATCATAGTTTACGCATCTTGGCTGCGTCTTCAGCAAATTTCATCTCCATGCAGAGCTCAGGGCTTTATACGCATGTTCCCTGATGTATGGAAATCCTCCCAAACTTGGCATACGGACGCGTTCTTGCTTTTAACACCCCTCCTGAGCCGTTTAGGCTGTCTCCCCGCTCGGATGAATTGAGACAGGAGCGGACGTGCGTTGTGTTACAGTCAGGCAAGCTCACTTTGGGGAATAGTCAATGTGTTTTCACAAGGTCAGTGGAGGGTTATTGACAGCCCATAAGGGAGAGGAGCTCCCTTGGAGCGCGGAATCGGATTTCGGGGCACTATTAGAGCCTTCTGCCTCTGCCAGCACAGGGCAGTAAAAACACCATGAGCCTATTTGTCCTCCTCTAATTAAAACGGGGACAGGTTGTGATGCTTGTTAAATGCATTAAAGCAAGAGATTATGTTCCATAACCTTCTAGTATACACCCCTTGCAAAAAAAGAAAGAAAGAAAAAAAGGATGATAAGGCAAAATGAACAGTTGTGAACATTTTCCCATTGTTACAGGATCAGTTTTATGTCAAAAGGCGTTTGCACAACTAAATCAAATTTAAACAGGCTGCATGTATGAAGCTACTCAGTGAGGGAGACATGCCAGTGGCACAAATCCTCTAGGCTGAGGCTGCCTGAGGCACAAGCAAACTCTACTGCTGCTTTCAGCCTCCAGACAAGCAGGGCGCTGCTCATTTGCCACACTATTCATTATACAAGGGTACTTCAATGAATTATACCATTAAATTTTGAAAGTGATATACAGATTCATTACACAGAATGATATCTTTTAGGTGTTTATTTCTATTGATCATAGGTGATATAGTCAACAGTGAAAGAAAACCGCTAAATGTATTTCTTAAAAACAATAATTTTACATAAGATTTTACAAAAATGTCAATGAAATACTTTCACAGACAGGTAACAGGAATATTGGTCTGATATACACAGCCTAGTAAAACTAGCTACAAAATGTTATAGTTGAAACTGTTAGAAGTCCTATACCCAGTCACATTATTGGAAAGTTGAGTTGAAAAGATGTTGTGGAAAAAACTGCACAGACAACAGGTTGGAAACTTACAGAAATAAAAGCTTGATATATAACTGTGTGTATAGTCAATCTGCATAAGTTTCACTAAAAGTATTGGATGACTATAATAGGTTTTCTCTTATATTAGTATTGACATACTGACATGTACAGGTAGATCTCCAAAGATGGTGTTTGTACTAAAGATTTGCTCAGCTCACATTATTAGCTGATTTATTTAGAAGTGTGACCTGCAGACATCAGCTATATGAAGCTAAAAGGGCAACATTAAAACATTCAGTTTCTTTTGTTTACCTACCTGCTTATTGTTTATATTAAGGGCAAAGAAGCATCATTTGATTTAAACAGGATGCCACAGTTATGAAAGAAAGTAAAATGTTAAAGTTGACTTTTAATAAATTTTTTTAATGCCGATTAGCATGATAAGCTCTGTAAGCAGGGTCTACAAATGGGGAGCCTTTGATTAATGACAAAAAAAATGCAAGGTTTAAAGTGATAAAAAAATTACAATAATGATAATAATAAACTTCTCTTCTTTTTGTTACTGAAAATAGCTAAACTTTAGTCTACTTCTTTAAGTAAGAACTTCAGCAGTGAAGATTGTTATCAGAGCAGTCCGGTAGTGCTTGTAATGATTTTACTGACGAACCTGAACCTTTGTCAGGAAGTTAACTCACAAAGCTGATTGTGCTGATATTGCAAGAGTTTTAGTTGCAAGATAATTCTTTATATATCTATAGGATTTAGGCATTTATACAAAAGGTGCATGTTTCCCATTTAAGACAATTCTTTATTACTTGCGTTATTTATAAAATGCAAATTGACCAAAGTGACTGAAGCGAAACCCATTCTCTTATATAGACATGGATATTAACTTTAAACCCTGTGTTCCCTGTGTTGACCTAGTGAGCAAATAATTAAGAAGGGTGATGGATGATAATGTTAGCTGTGAATTGGTTTCCTAGATGACAATTCTGCTCTGGGTCTTATGCAACCTATAGTTTCTGCCTTTAGGCCTTATTTCAAGAGGTCTTTCAGGTTTTCTGTTGGTGCCCATTTTAGTGTCAATGTAATTACTGCACTATATGAGCTAGGCCAGTACAGAAGCCATAATTAGTTGAGTCAATTAAAACAATACTTAGTTTACTATATCTCACATTTGTGAGACTTTCATGTAATCCTGTATTAGGCAAAACCAAGCAGTTTCGAGAGACGTGAATATAGACATAGTCTGGAAAACAGACTGAATGGAAAATTATTTATGATGGGCAAAGTTTCATTTTTCATGTGTGTGTATGTTGATGGAGAAAGAAATCTCAATACTTTATTGATGCTGACTGGGAAGGTTAGAGGATGACAAGACAACAAATACCTTCCATAAGCTCAATGCTGGCTGCGGCAAGCAGAATCAGGAGGGACGTAGGATGAGATGAGCGGCTGTGGGAAATGGGGACTGCTAATGCTCCCCCCCCATCAATCTGTCTCCTTCCACTCCATTTGTTATTTTGCTGTCATGCAGAGTCACACAGAACTCGTTTTCTCTGCATATGTGTGTGATCCCTTAGCTGTATCTCTAATCTTGAGTGCTTACACCAAATCTTTATCTCCAAGCTCACGCTTCCAACAGTCATTTTAGAAGGAGTGAGGAGGGGCCAGGTAATAGAGAGCTCTTAGAGGTTTCAGTCTGTACTTTGATGACCAAATATGGAAAGGAGATTTTTCCTGTAAGGCTGGATATTATGCTCCTTCCTGAAAGTGCTGAACACCTTGTATTTTTGTGACAGAAGAGAGGCAGGGTTTTAGACTTTAGAAAAATAAGCTTTTATGCAGTTTTTTTGATAGGATAACACAGATTTCCCCACAAGCTTTTACTTTAAGCTATTATGATGTGAATTTTCAGGTGAAATATCCATATTGGATATTATTGATGGAAAAGGAAAGACAAGGGATGTTTTGCTTTCATATCATTGATAAAAGACCAGTTAAGTTATTATACTATAACAATGGTTGATGGGTTTCTGTTTTGTATTTATATTCTGCTGATCTTAAAAAAAAACAGCATCATGGAAGCTAATATAAAGATATAATAGTAGATAATTGTTTGAACAGTTTCATTTGTTTCCCATGCAGTGTATTTGGCTTTCCTCCATGTTTATCTTTGTGATTTCTCCTACTTACCGAACATGGCCTGTGTTTTCAGACACACAGCCAGCATAACTGAGAAGACAGCGAGGCCCAGTGGGGTTGCCCCTCCTGGACTGGATGCAATCAATATCTCCTTGAGATCACCTAAGTTTCCAGAAGTGAGAGAGAGAAAAACCCCCCACAGAAAACAGCTGTGCCATGGCAACTCAGCGAACTCAGAAATCACAAAAATTGTCAGTTTATACAGTCTCAGCTTACCCTGCACAACCCAAATGGATCTAAATGAAGAATAAACAAACATGTTGGCAAACCTCTTAGTACTTACCAAAAGGGATTTATTAGCACCTCTGGTAGAGATGTTTAAAAAGGCTTACAATACATTTCCCTTTTATGGTGATTGTTGGGGAGGGTATTGTTTTACTTTCAGATTGTCGAATTCGAGCACATTTAAAGTGGAAAATCCCATGTTGAGAAATGTTTCAACCAAATTAGCAATACCACAAACCTTTGCATCCCTACGGTGAATACTCATTTCTCACCAAATACATGTTTGCATGTTACTGTCATCAATATGCAAACAGGCATTTTGTGAAACAATAAACAGCGCTATTACATTGGTCTCCAAGGTACAGATAGTATTTTTATTGTGGGCATTCCTGAACTGTATATTCAGAGATACTAAAACATGCTATAGGGGCCTATTTTTCCAATGTCTGTTTTTACTTTCTGTGCAAGCAACCATAAGGAGTAGATCCTATGTGATCATCCTTTTTTTCCTCGGTCTAAATGTTGTGGCCATGTTTCTGACCAGCTGAAATGTCCCTTTACAGAAGCTGAAGTTGCCCCCCCAATGTTTTATACCCAATCCACCTCCTGAGGTAGTCATAAACTTCTAATTACTATGAATTGTATTGGGTATTATGTGAAAGCAGAGACAGTGTGATGAGACCCCTGCTCTGGTGTAAAGGTTGAGGGTAAAATGATGGATGAGGAGATAGATTGCATCATCCAGTGTCCATTTGAATTAGAAATATATAAAAGAGCGCAGTCTGATGCAAATTACACCACGCTGATAATAATGCTCAACAGCATGCCTTGCATTCGCAGTATGGTGGAGAATATATATATACGTCAGGATTGTGACACTGAGCTAATGCTCTGTCAGTGGTTCCACCTGAGGGAAATCTGCAATGCTGGAACTTGTAAGCCACACCCTTGTTATGCTGGAACTCTCGCTGTCTGATTTTAAGGCACAGAGACATTTTATCTTAGATGATCAGCTGGTATCTTGTGACAGAACACAGAGATCTGTAATATCGGGTTGAGATTGTATGTGAATAAAAAAACTACGGTCTTAAAAGGTCAAATATATCTGCAGTTGGAAATTTCTTTTCACCCTTTCGTTGTCCTGCCTATTTTCCCAGGGAACTTTAGATGAGAGCTATTCTTTTTGTTAACTGAGAGGACAAATAATGTA